TTTTTTAAAAATTCTGTGGGTCTCAGGGGATTACAACTGAGATGGAAAAGGCACAAAATGATGTAAAAATAAACTATTACACATATATAAAAAATCAATAATAAAAAAAATTCTGTGTGTCTTAGAAAAAAAAGAACTAATAGAGCAGGACACTGTTAAATTAATATATATAATGATCGGATGAAACAAATAGCATTATCAACCTTGTTTTACCCTAAGCCTTGTCAGTAAATAATGGCAATTTTCTTCTTTCCTCTGTAAAACTTCTCATTTTCACACGTATGCTCAGTGTGAGCTACAAAGTAAGTGTACTACAATATTCTAGAAACTCTAGTTATAGATACAGCAAATCAAAAGCTACAGTAAATACTTGAAGGGAGAGTGCCAGAATGCTACTAACCATCAGTACCAGCAAGAACAATTGCTACAGTAATTTTCTCTAAATGCCTATTTACTTGCCCTAACTACAAAGGTGAATCGGCTGAAATCTATTTGGCGTGTGGATGTGAAATATAAATCTGAGTCATACAAGTTCTCCTGCGGATAGAGGCCAGGATATTCTCGTTCCTAGATTTTGAAGGATTTATTCTTAGCTTTCAACTATTCACTGGAACGCATTTCCAATACCCCAAATGCTGTGTCAGCACTAATTCCCGGAAGCTGAGAAGCAAGGGCTCTAATGAAAATGGTTATTTTTCCCTACAGGCAAGAGAAAACAAAAGGGACACCTAGTCATTTATTGCAATATAAAGAAAGATCATATTTTTTCTTTTTCCAAATATTGCAGGGAATGAGGCCAGAACAGTTATTACAATTTTTCAAATTCAGAATGCATTTCCTAATCAAAGGATCACAACACTACCAACAGGTGTGTCTCCTTAGAATAGTTCCAAGCATCATAAAATAGTAACGAGGTACAGTTATGTGATGCATTTATGATATTTCCTTTAAGTACCTCAATATAAAATAAATAGTATGTGCCTGGTAGTGTCTTATGTACAAGACACAAAATGATGAGCAAAGCAGAAAAAGTCTCTGCTCTCATGAAACAGTCATTATAATTAAAGTCATCATTGAGAATTCAAGGTGCTGTATCTTACATAAAACCCAATACAACAGTTTAGGAATACATTAATCCATCACAAATATAAGAGGCAAATGATTCAATGCATAATATAACACGAGAAAAAATAGTAATATATCAATGATAAGAAGAACACCAGGGAGCTCATCCATCCACATTTTCCTGAGCTTTATATTTTTTACGACCATTGTCTCGGTGAACATATTAAAAGTATATTCCTTTAATTTCAAAATATCTTGGTGGAGAAGATGTAATTCAATATAGTTGGGTAGTACAGACCAAGAGGGTCTTTAGATACTACTTTAGATACTACATTAGTAAGAAAAGACATCTCACAATTTTTAGAAGAGTCTAGAAAGAAATGAGGGACAAGCATTTTGTATATCTGTAGGAAGAGTTTTTTCAGCAGTGTATTTGTGACTATATACTATGAGAGAGATGAGAGATAGGAAGGAATCTGTAAAACCTTCAGTGAGAAAGAATGAAAATCCAGTTCCAATAGTGAAGTTTATGTATTAGAAAACTTTTCATTCTCTTTCTTGTCTAAAAATAGTTCTCAAGGGGCAGCTTTAGCTAGAACTAATTACACTCTGGTAGATTCCAGAATTAAAACCATTTCCTATATTCTCTAGGAATGTAAAATTGCCCTATTAGGATTTCTAATAGCATTGGCACTTAATATCACTTTATATATCATAAGTATATATTTCCCCTGAGTCTTAGGTGATTCTGAGCTTCCGGAGTTTCCTTAAAATTGCAGAGAGAGCATGAAATGGAATTGGTTATTTCCATAATAATAACAGTAGTCATAATAATGCCACCAACGATAATAATAATCCAGGGACATTTTAAGTATTTACTCTGTCCCAAGGACTGTCTGAGCACATTATGTCAATGATTTGACCACTTATCAAGCTCTCTAGTTAAAGGAAAACCTCTCTGTGATACATGCTTTTTTTTTGTTTAAATTTCCATTTACATTCTGAAATTCTCAAAAGTCTTAAAGTCCCACCTCAACCTTCAAATAAAAAAAAAATTACTGAAACCTGCTTATCTTACTCAAGATTTAAAAGCATAATTCTAAAGTTCCTTAGGATCAGCAGTTAAAAGTTAAAAAAAGTTAAAAACTTACATTCAAGCTGTGCAACTACATCTCCAGGGTCTACTGCTTCAGGGAACACCTACAGGAAAAGAAGGGGGCAGGGCCGGGCAGAGCAAGAGAAGGGAGGAATGAACAATGTGGTCATTGTCCTTTGCCTTCTCACCCCAAAAATTCCCTCTGCCCAACCAAAGAAACTTTTGACAATACTCAGGACTAGGACTGTCCCTTCTCCCCTGAATCTCTTAAAGGCCACAAGATTTTGCCCACACACCGTGCATCTAACTGCTCTTCTCTACCCCATCGGATGCACTTCTCTCTCTTCCTGTATTCACACCACCTTCTCCTGTGCCCCCCCAGCCACTGAGTTTATTCCCAGCGAAACCCCTTTACACTGGTTATCCCTTTGCTTACAATGCCTTTTCCCTCTACAACTTAGACAGCCTCATAATTCAGGCTCAGTTTGAATGTTAGAGCATTCTCTGAAAACCCTTTAAAGACAGGAGCCAGGGGAAAAGCACAAGGCCTGGGGTACTGCGGTGGTGAAAAAATTATGTGGCTACACCTAAGGGGAGAAATCATACATAGTCCAAAAACAATATTGTAAGAAAAAAATACTGTATTAAAAAAATAGGAAAAGTGAGCTGTTCTACAATAAGCCCAGGAAACAAAATATAACCTAAAATAGACTACCTCTCCCTAAATCCCTCCCCATTCACGTAGTCTCCTAGTCTCCCTTTATTCTCTTCAGAATATTTACAGCTGTCTAAAATTACAGTATTCCTGTGTTTACTTATTATCTACTTCTACCACATTGGAAGTTTCAAGGGGGTAGGTTGTTTACCTTGTTTATCCAGTGCCTAGAACAGTAAAGGGAACAGATCAGGTAATGGATAATTATTTGTTGGGAAAAGGAAGGAAGTGAGGAAGAAGAGAGGGAGGGAGTCGGCAGAGGAGGAAATTAAAGTGAGAAATATAATTGGCAAAAATTAACCAACAACAGCAGTTTTAGGAAGGGGAAAAAGAAAGAAGTACTGCAAGATAGCGGTAAGTAAGATATGACCTATTTTTATCTAGGAATGTCTCCTCTCTTTTGTTTGAAATCATCATTGAGAATTTGAGGTGTAGTATCTTACATATAACCCTCTACAACAGTTTAGGAATATACTAATCCATCACAAACAAAAGAAGCAAATGATTCAATGCATAATATAATGCATAGTATTTTTAAGTTTTCAATTTAAGTTACAAATCTTTTGAATTAAATCAGAGTACATAGTCAGCAATAGTAATTCGTACTCTGGAATTATTTTCATTTGGAACCACGATGCTTTCTGTTTTTTAGTATTTGATCTGATATTCGAACTTACCTTTTCAAACACCATTCTGGCGTTGAATACCAGGGGAAAGGTGGCTGGGACACATTGTGTCTTTTTGTATTGGCCAAACACACAGATGCTAAGATAGATGTCCTCCTTGTCTTTCAGTACCACTCCTGGACAAGTTACCTGAAAGGAACCAGATCAATGGTTGTAACCACTTTATGAATTCCCTAAACTACTAAAATAATTTATCAAACATGCCATAAAAACATTGGTCTATTAAGTTAACAAAAACAAGCACAGAAAAATAAAGAAGACAGATAGGCTAGTGTTTTACAGATTTAAATAAAATGCCTTAGATCTTCCATCCCTCTGAGAAATCAATGATTTTGCATATGGTTATTTGTGCCACATTTGAAGCTCTATGCTCTGGCTCCTGGGACAGACACTAATAGTTTTTAAACAGTCAGCCTTAGGCTCCCACTTCATGCAGAATGCTGACTTATACTTATTCAGCATCATTTAATCACAAAGGATTAAGACTCAGCAGAAATAAAGCACTATATGAGAGGACTGAAAAAAAAAAAAACCTGATAAAAGCACAAATTTATCACCCTAAATAGCAGCCCATACATACACTCATCAAATATGATATGACCAAATTTCAGAGCAAATGAATGGTAAATATCTAACCCTATGAGAAGTTTCTCTAGTATGAAATTAAAATTAGCTAGTCTCATGACTGGCAGAAAGAATAGGCATAAAATGTGGGGTTTGCTATATATAACACAGTCTGTCCAGCTCCTGATATTCATTGTCAATGACCAATCAGACCCTTAACAAGATATTAAGGGCTGTCCAAGATTTGAATCCAACTACCCACACAGTATTATTACTCAATACCCCCTAATCATACAACTGATTGTATTGTCTGTGTATAATGTTACAGTTCTCTGAACACACATATTACCTTCTTGCCTCACCTTCTTCCATTATCTGGATTACTATGTCTTACTATCCCACTCCATCTCTCCCCCTCATTTACTCCCAGAATCTGCCAGTGTTTATATCAGTGGCCATCTCCTACACAAAACTTCTCTTGATTTATCAACTATTATTATTCAATTCAACTAATTCAAATATTTACTGTGAATGTATACAGTACTATATGCAAGTAAATATATTTTAGATTGTCATTTTGTAGTTCTCTTAAGGCCCTAATTATCAGCTCCATGCATTTTAGTTAAGAGGATCTATTCCATCACTTTTGTTTGATTATACATTCCCCAAGGATAGAAATTATTCTCCTCAGCAATATATCCCAAAACCAGAGACATTCAGAATTAAGAAGGAGGCAAAAGATAATCTAGTACAGTTTTGGATTTTTACATATGAAAATACCAGAGCCAGCAAATAACCAGGTGCTTTACCTAAAGTCACACGTTAAATGGGTCGATAAAATATAAAATGTTTGGAATAATGCCTGGCAGAGTAGTTATTCAACTAATACTATGCTGTTAGGTTGAAAACCATTCTCACTTGCTATCTAACCAGTCTATTGTATTGAATAAGTGACTAGGAGTACATGCCCACATGGACATAACTTTGCCAATTATTTTGACTTTGTCTAACTATGTTCCATGGTTGTCCTAATAATTCCCTATTGATGATTAAATCAAGGTCCTCAGCAAACCTCACTATGGCCATCAGTTTCATTTCCTACTCTGCTTCACTAAAACCAAACCTGCCTTAGGGTTCCTTCTAAATCCATGTGATCTAATCTTGTAGCTGCTAAGTACCTGTGCCAAAAGCTGTGACTGGCCCAAATGAGATGGGTAGTAATGTAGAATACAAGGGTCTGAAGAAGGTGAAGACTTGCTCAAAAAGATTTTGAAAACTTGCGACAAAAAAACATAAAACTCTCATAAAAAACTTTTATATAAATTATTAATAATATGTTGAAACAATAATATTTTGAAGTTATTGCCTTAAATAAAATTGTTAATTTAATCTACCTTAACTTTTTAAATGTGGCTAGTATAAAATTTTAAATTATATTCTTGACTCAAATTCGTTGTTTATATTATATTTCTATTGGATAATAACTGTTTTCATTGTCCTTACTGGCTCCCTTTTTCAATATATGCAAGAGGGCATGGCATTTTTTCTCATTCACAATTCTACAAATGCTGCCATTTGTAAAAGATTTCCACAAAGAAAGCAAGGAGGGAGGGAGCTTAAAAATTCAAATGGGACAAATGGAAAAATAAATGAATAGCAAGCAACTGACTTAAACCCATGGTATGGGTAATTACATGAATGTAACGATTCAAAGCATAACTAACTAAAAGGTAGAAATTGCTAGAGCCTGAATTAAAACAAAGCGAGATAAAATCAGTCAAATAACAATATCACAATTTTTGTAGCCATGAGTCTGACAGTGACAGTAAGAGAACAGATTCAGAGTTACTCACAAATCCTGGCCTGAAAGAATGATCATTATTGACACAATGGTACCCAGAAACCCCCACTCAGAGGACTTCTCTTTAATGGAGGGATATCAGAGCTTACTCAAGCCAAATAATCCATCTTCCAAGGCATTTGTCAAAAACAATCTACAACTGTTTAACATTACAAATACCTGACACAATGATGAAAGCTGGGGCAAACAATAGCTGATCAAAACACTTAAAAAGCAATGCTGGAGAATCCTGTGGGTGGGGAAATAATGTGAGAAAGGGTGTTTTTGACTCATCATGATGTATTCTTGGTAATTTAGGTTATACATCTGTACAGGGCGGTGTACATGTCCAGAGATGGCATGAGGAAACCCCATACTGAACTGAAGGCAAAGACTGACTTAAAAAATAACGTAGAATAAAGCAAAAAATTAAATTGTGTTGATGGGCTCATATGTATAAAAATGTGATTTGTATGAAAATAATATTATAAAGAAGAGAACATAAAGAGGGAAAGGAATGAAACTGAATCAAAGGTAATGAGTATTATTTAAACCAAATTGATGTTACTCTACACTAGATCATTTTAAATTAAGATGTTAACTGTGACTCCAAGGATAACCACTAAGAAAATAAACAAATATAGTAAGAGAAAAAGGGTAATTCAGTGATACACCAGAAACTAGCTAACAGAAAAGAAAGTAATAGCAGGAATAGAGAAACCAAAAAAAAGATGAGACATTGCAAAATAAATTGCAAAATAACAAAGATAAATTCTACCTTATCTGTGATTATATTAAAGGCAAACTGAGTAAATATTATAATGAAAAGGTAGCACTTAGCAGATTCAAAGACACAAATGGATTGATAATAAAAGGGAAAAGTAGTAAAGAAAGCTATAATGGTTACATTATAATTTGACAAGTAGACATTAAAGCAAAAATTGGTATATATATTTGGTGTTTACCTCAATTATGATTTAAAATGGATTTCAGAAAGAGATTATAATCTTTGCTATATATGTATATTCAATGCTATATATATATATATATATATATATATAACATTATTTCAAAAAGACGTAACTATAAACATACATGCATTTAACAGGGTCCCAAAATACATGAAGCAAAAACAGATAGGAATCTCCAAAGAAGATAAACAAATAAATTAATAAATACATAGGAACATGTTTAATATCATTAGCCATGAAGAAATATAAATCAAAACACAGAAATGTCCATTTACATACATTAGGATGGCTATAATCACAAAGAGAGACAAAAACAACTACTGGAGAAAAATGCCAAAAATTCTAGCACTCATCAATTGTTGATGTATGTGCAAAATAACTCAATGACTGAGAAAGATCTGACAGTTTCTAAGAAAAAATAAATAGCATTACTGTAAGACCCAGCATTCTTAAACATACAGACAGTAAGAGCACTGAAAATATAAATCAAAACAAAAAATGTGTACAAGAATATAGCAGCATTATTCATAGTGGTCACAAAGTTACTACTTAAATGTTTATCAATTGATAAATGAATAAGCAAAACGTGGTATATCCAAACAATGGAATATTATTTGACCATAAAAAAGAATAAAGCAACAGTACGTGCTACAACTTGGATGAATCTCAAAAACACTGTGCTAAGTGAAAGAAGCAAAAACCAAAAGCCACATATTGTATGGTTCCATTTTTAGAAATGTCCAGAATAGGCAAACCCACAGATACAGAAATTAGACTTTTGGGAATAAGTAATAACTAATGGCTAATAGGTATAGGATTTATGGGGTGATAAAACTTTTCTTCAATTAATGGTTACTGTTACACAACTTTATGAATACACCCAAAGTTATTAAATTGTACTGTTTAGAAGCCTTAGATGTGAATTATTCATCAAGGTTTTAAAAATTAAAATCAAGATAAAAGTAAAATGACAGAAAAAGATATACCATGCATTTGCTAGTCAGAAGAAAGTTGGGGTGTCTACTCAAAAATTTTGACGTATCAGTAAAATTTCAAGTGTAATGATAATGACAGAATGTCAAATTAAATGAAGTAAAAAATGCATGAACTGAAATTATATATTATTTTCAAGTAAATAGAAAACATTCACTTTTAGATAAGTATTACTATACAAAGGAAATCTTTACAAAAATAATATTGTCAGACTTCATTCAGTATCTTTACATAAGTAAGGAAAAGGAAAGAAAAGGGAAAAGATTGTATTGAACTCAAAACTATAATTGCAAAGTTGCAAACACAGACTCTCCAAATAACTATTAGATTCAATAAGGGATTTCAGTAATATTTACTACAACATGTAATGCTGTATTAAATAAAATGTGCAATAAAATCTTATACAAGAATGTTTCTAGGAGGGCAACTTGTAATATACCTAAATTGGAAAAAATGAAAATGTCCATCAACAACAGAATATAGAAAAAATCTTCAGCACATATGTAAAGTGTAGAATTTGTTAAAATTAGTGGTGATAGGGCAGGCCCATACTATCCAGATATTATTTTCTGTAAATTCAAAGTATCTTACTACGTTTATAATTCCAGGGAACTTTAGTAAGAAAAGCTGGGGATTAAAACTGACACTTTAGGTTTTAAGATAAAGCAAATTTGCTGGTTTCATTGCAGTCATATCCCTAATTTCTCCCACCTATTTTCCCAAATATTCAAATGAAAATCGAACTATGACATAATAAAAAGGTAGAGAGAAAACAAAAACACTTTTTCATATCACAGATAACACAGTTCAAGTGTTGAAAGTGTAAGTGATGGGAAATACAATTCTTGTGCTGCTCTTAAAAAAAAAAGTTACTTGCTACATCATATCATTCTCCCAGGATTCAGTGAGACCAGTCACACTTTCTTGCTAGGTTTATACATCTCTGAAGTCATATAGCTCTGCTGAGCACTATGAAATGTGTTATACACCCAAAGCTTTCGTGCTTACTGTGATTTTGCTCTCAGCTGGTCACCTTTGTAAATGTATGAGGTTACATCTAATACAAGGCTGCAGCAAAAATAAACACGGAGGGGCAGAGAGAGGAGAATGAAGTGCCACAGTGGATTCAAGAGCTAACAGATGAAACAGGTAATTTCAGATTTACAGGAATTGGGGATAACTTAAATGTCACCACATGAGGAAAATAATTAGACAAAATTCTATATCTAAACCTGGTCTCTTCAAAGGTAATGTACAAAAAAAGATTTTTAACTGGAATGAATATCCATAGTAACTTTAACCATGACAATCAAACCTAGTAACGAATTATCATCAATTAAAAATGTTATAAAGTGGGCCCTCACTGGTGGTGCAACGGTTGGGACGCAGCACTGCAAGCTGGCCGCAGCCGCTTCAGGGCCAGTTTGATCCCCTGCCCAGGAGGTGATCTACATGGCATGGCAGACCTTTCCTGACCCACCCGCTGCTCCCCTCAGCAGTGTACTGTGTAGATCTGCCTGTTCTGCTCCCCACTGTGTCTGGTAAATCCTCTCACCCGCTCCAGTTCTGTATGCATAAATAAATATTTTTTTTAAAAAAGGGGAATTTTTTTTAAATGGCTAAAGTAATCCATGGTATATAGGAACAAATTACGAATATACACAGCAACATGGATGAACTGAAAAGGATGCTCAGAAAAAGTCAGACACAAAAAAACCATTTTATGGGACTCCATTTAATATGAAGTTCAAGTACTGGCAAAGTAATCTATAGTTATAAAACTCAGAACTGTAGTTCTCTCTTCCTGTTCTTGCAATATGCACAAGATATTTCCTATGGCAATGGAAGTGCTCTAAAACTTGACCTAAGTAATATTTATACAGGATATGAACACTTTTAAATCCCTCTAAAAAAGGAAATCTGTAGGGATGAAAAAGTAGACCTGCTCTATATTTAAACAAACTAAAATGGTCTGGTAGTCAAGAATAACAAAGATTGAATGGATCCTGGTATGAATAAAGATAACTATACAAGTCATTTTTTCGTATAACTAGGAAAACTTGAGTAGAATAGACATTAAGAAATTATCGCTAATTATTTTTGTTGTGATAATGGTTTTATAGAACAATGTCCTTTTTTTTAGATGCATGCTGAAGTTTTTAGTATTGGAGTGTCATGGCAATAATTTACTTCCAAACATTCAGCCACAGACATTTATGCATAAACATATACATGTATACAGGTAAATCAAATCAATATACATAGGACATGGGATAGTTACTTATTGTGCTGTTTTAAATACTTTGTGTATGTTTGGAAACTGTCAATGAAAAGTTAAGAGCAAAGGAAGATGCTAACTTGTAGTTTTAAAGACACTGATTTCCAGAACATATTAAGGGAGAAAAAAGTAAAGTGCAGAGTAGTTTACAGAATATGCTACCTATAGTATAAGAAAGAAAAATATGTGTATCTATACTTACATATGGGACAGAAGTATAGTGTGTGTGTGCTTGTTTATGTTACAAAAGGAAATGATACAAGAATAAAGTGGAAATCAAAAAAGTTGCCTACCTACAGTATATGAATACTTGGGAAATTTAATGTAAAGAAACAGGGCATTTATCAGAATATGTAGATTTGACCTTTAGACCATGTAAGTGTAAAATATTAAATTGGAAAGAAGACTCGAAATTAATGTGTTGCAAACATTTACCATTACATAATTTTTCTGTTCAATCAATGTTAAATATACCAAATTCATTTTATTTGTATGGTACAAACGGTCTTTTGTGGAGCCATTTAACAAGGTTTGTCTGAAAACTTAGCATCTTGCTGCAGATCTAGGATAGCTGTGCAATCCTAGACAAATAATTAGTCAAGCTGCATCTGTAAAAGGAATTAAACAAATGATGCTAGAGATTTCTTAGAAATGTTAAAGTCTGTGACTGAATTTGTTGAAAAAATGAAATATGAATATTCCCACCTGCACAATTTCTTAAGACTGTTAACCAACAAAGTTCCACTATATGATCACTCACTTTTTGCAATTCAGCCAATACTTAGAAGAAAAAAAGTAGTGATTTCTTTTTCTGACTTTTTCAGGCAGTAATCCGTTACAAAAAGACGCACTTCCTCTTACAAGGTCTGTATTGGCTAAAGAAGGGAAGCGGAACCAGCCTGTCCGTATGCCGAACTCAGCCTGCTGCTAACCCCCATTGGTTACGAGAGGAGGAAGCAGCAACCAGTAACAAAGCCGATCGAGGCTGGACTTGGGAAGGGCCTTACTAAGTACGCTGGAGTAGGAGTTTAGGAAGTTTCAAGTGTTCTTTTGTAAACGAGTTTTATTTTACAAAGAAGTGCTAGGGTTACAGAGTTTCTAACACAACAGTCAGTAAAATCTCTGCAAGTCTACAGAAAAACCAAGGATGCCAGACACCTCTCCATCACTGCCTCACACTCTGCCCTAGTCAGCCTACCCTTCTTTGTGAGGAACAAAAGAACAAAGTCTTGTGACTTCCCTGGAGGTTTAAGTTCTAAGCTGCAGCAATCTCATTCTGAAGTGCAGAAGGGCAGCCTGGAAAGTGGAGGATGAGGCTTGCCAGCAAACGGTGCAGGAAGTCGGGGGTGGGGGGTTGGGGGGCATTCTTGGTGCAGCACTCAAGGGAATGGGGTTGCCTATTTTAGGAGGGAGAAGGAGGGAAAGAGAAATGTGTTTTGCCGGGAGATCAAGACTGACTTGAGAAATAAAAAGCTTGGGGAGAGTGGGGGAGGTAAGGACCCAGAGCAACTTTTAAACAGGATGTATGATAAAACTCTGGAGATTTCCTCTAGAAGGGACAGCTAGAACTTTCATATGGAGAGCTCTCTAAAAGAATGAAAGGGAAATTTATCCCCCAGCCCTGGCTGAGATTGTTGAGGAGAAAAGTTATCTCCTAGCAGAGTGGGAGGGATCCCAGCCATTCACCTGATAGAATTTGTGGGGCTCTCTGCCAAAGCAGGTTGGGGGACAGGATCCTCTTAAGCAAGTCTGGAAGTGACTGGGTGGCCAGTCACCAAGTTGAGAGAATGAATAGTTTTCTCTCTAAAACCTGTTCTTGGAGTCACAGGACGGATAAGGGAGCCCTCTCAGAATAGGGAGGGTTTGGGGAATTGTAGGGCTCTGAACAGATTTTGGAGGAACTGGCCCTGGGGGAGGTGGCAAGGTGCAGTGGTGGCACATTTCGGCTATTGGGTGTGGAAGTCCACACTGAAGACAGAGTAAAGACGCCTTCAACTAACCAAAGTCTGTAAGGGTCGGTCAGCAGTGATTTGGCAGGAAATGACCCCCCTACTAATGCTCCCACCCCAAGACTGGGGAGAAGATGGCCCAGTAATAATTCCAAGAAAAGCCCACCTTCCCCCCAAGTCACTGGAAAATTAGGAGCAGGGAGAGGGTCTTTCAAGTGACTTGGAAATGATCCCAAGGAATTCAAACCGCAAGGTGGGACGAAGCGAGGGCTGAGGCGCCTCAGCTGCGCCTGGAGTGGGAGGTCCTTCATGATTCTGACCGGGAGAAAGCAGGTGGTACGAAGTCAAGGCTCCCGAGAGAGGAACGGGCGGGCGGATGAAGAAAGTTTTGAGGCGGGGCTCGGGATTCTCGGAGACGAACAAAAGAAGCGGCCGCCAGTAAATTCCAGGGGCTCACCGACGCCCAGGCGGCGGGAGGTGGGGGCGCGACCGGTACTCACAGAGCGGATCTCCAGCGCCAGGGCGCATTGCAGCGCCTTCACCTTCGGCATCCGAGCGGGGTGGGGCGGCGGGGTGGGACCCCGGCCGCGGGCCCGAGTGAGGCGAGGAGACGCGGGGTGGGACGGGGACGGGGAGGAGATGAGGTGGCGGCAGCGGTGGCAGCTGTGGCCCCCAGGCCGGGGCCCGCGGTCCAGCCAGGGTCCCGCCCGAGCAGCAGCTGTGCGCGGGGCGTGGACTCGTTGTCATGGCAGCCAGCGGGGGCGTGGCCGGAAGAAAGGCCGGGAGAGGGAGGTGCCGGGTCCCGGCGCGAGGGGACTCAGCAGGGGGCGTGGCCTCAGGGGGCGGGGCTTTTGGAGTGGCAGCGTTGGGGCGTGGCCACTGTTCTGTGACCTCAGGCTAGTAGCCCAAAGCTAGACAAAGGAAAGAATGGCTGTTTGGACCTGGATCATGAGTTCCTCCGTGGCGATGGTGTAGCTTGGGCGAGTGGCGTCCCTCTGAGGGCTCAGTCTTCCCAAATGTAAAAGAGTAATTATTAATAGTTCGCATTTTGATCTCACTGATGCAGTTTACAAAAACAGCATGAGGAAACTGAGGACTGAAGAGCTCTGCCCAAGTCTGAGTCAGACTGAGCAGGAACTGGAGCCCTGGAGCTCTGTAAAACTCCAATTGTCTTCCTGAGAAGAGGAGTTGGAATCTGACGGTGGTGGTCCTGTCCCTCTTCCTGGTCTCCTGTGATTCTTTAGGTGTGCTCCATTTCCCTTCAAGGGATCCTGCGAAATTCACCTGTTCAGGCAATGTATTTTGCTTAAACGGATCTATTAACAAAAAACAACAATAAATTCTGTTTTGTCCCAACTTCTGTGACCAGCCGAAAGAAAGGAAGGCGGGAGGCAGAAAGGCTGAGAAAGCATGGTTTATTGCTCCAGTACAGCAGATGAGACGGAGCCCCTAGAGTGATCCGCAGCTACTGCCAAACCAATAAGGGGGGAAGGGTCTCTTATATATAAGATTCTAGGTTCACATTCCAAAGGGGTGACTCATCGCTGTGCCCCTGATGCTAGGCCCCTAATTCAGTCCTTGTCAGTAAATCTTTGGTCACTCCCAACAAATTCAGGTGAGAAGGGTCTGGGCAATAGATCATCAGATATGAAAAGAATTTAAGATTGCCCATTTCCGTTTAAAATTCATTCTTAAAAAACACATTCATCTTAAACAACAATAAAGTGAATGTGTGTGCAGCTAACACACGGGTTAAGACACAGAGCTCTACTAGCACCTAAGAAATGTGCCTGTCTTGTCTGGAAGCAATCACCAGCCTGACTTTTCTTACAATAATTTCCTTGTTTTTCTTAAATACCTTTCCATTCATGGGTGCATTTCTATGCAAGATATTTTTTACTTTTTTCCTGTTGTTGGTGTTATGTAAATGAAATTACTGTTATCTGTATTCCTCTGTGACTTTCAACTCTCCCTGTTTTGGAGATGCTGTTGATGCTGTGGAGCTGAAGGATTCCAACTCCCTCCTCCCCCACAAACCCCCTCCCCCGCCCCCACTAATTTCCCAATACATGCATAAGATTTACTTATTCCTGCTATTGCTGGTCATGTGCAGTGTTTGCACCTCAGCTGTTACTGTTATGAACTCTCCAGCATATGGCTGCTGGGCCGACCCTGTTAAAATAGGTTCCTACATGTGGGATTTTAGTTGGTAACAGCCAACCATTTTCCAAAATAGTTGTTCCCAGGAATGTGTGGGGCAATATTTTTCCCCCTCGCATCCTCTCCAACATTTGGCATTGTCTGAACTTTTAGTGTTTGTGTGTTTGTATAGGTATAATCTATATCTCTCATTATGGATTTATTTTGTAGCTTACTATTATCGAAACTGGACACTTTTTTTGTGTGTGGTTTTATGACACAAGCTATGCAACATCTATCGTCTGACAGATTCCGGATAGATCGGAAAAGCTCTGAAAAATCAGATTTTCCACTGCTAATTTATGTTATGACCTCCCTTTTTTGTATAATTGTAATATCAAAATATTCTGAGCAACTTTCAGCTTACAATTGGATTGCCTCAGCCACATAAGGCCTGCCTGCCCTGACAAGCAAGCACTGCACCAGGGTGAAAAATTACTCTGAAGTCAAGTGACTTGACTACTGGCTGATAAATAAAATTAAAAGGGCTGTTTTTGCAAAGTCTCTCTCACTGCTGATGGAGGATAATCCAAATCTTATCATTCTATTATCTCACCTAGCCTTCTATTCAGCTTCTAGAGAATTACTCAAACTTCCTATTGTCTGGCCTTTAGATGTGGAAATTCATCCAGGTTGCCTGTTTTGGAACTAGTCAGTTTTTCTACCTGCTACACCTCAAAGGAATCCACAAATGTCTTCTGGCTAGTCTTGTAGGTCTTTAGATAAGGAAATTCACCTATGTCTCCTATTCAGAGATTTGATTTGCAAGGACTTTCCTCTTCCTGCCTCCCAAGATGTCTCAGGTAGAAAAACAAACCCATTAAGTAGTAGATAAGGTGTAAGGGACTTTTAGTTAATCTTCACTACAATAATATTAGTCTTAAACTTTGTGCACCTATGTACCTGTTTTTAACCTTGATTGATTTTAGAATGTTATAATCTCAAGTAAAGGTCAAAACAACCCCAGACTATTCTTAGAAAAAAAGATGATTGTAATCTCTCTGCCCAGTTCATGTGCTGATGTCATCCCACTGCTTGCTCCTAATGTATAAAATAAACCTCTGCAAAAGGCAGAACAGGAAGATTTGCACCCAACTCCGACTCCCGTGTCTTCCTCACTCCTGATCTCCTCTACTCCCCAATTTTTAGAATATCACCTCGCCGGCATCATTCCCATCTTGAGACCCTGCCTGTGTCAGCCTCTCAACAGCCTGAAATTGGGGTTGGTCCACAACAGTTTTATTCATTTTTTAAAATTTTCTTTGTGCACTACCTAGTAGTTTCCTTGTCCATTTTCTATTAGATTTACTCTCATAGAATTCATATATTCTAGATACTAATTCTTTGTCAATTACATGTACTTCCCTAGTCTGTACTTCCATCTTCTAATTTTCCTTTCAGTTTGTGATGGCAGAAGAGCTGTCACATCATGGAATAAAAGGCTTCTTACTTCGACCAAATGTTTTCAAGTTGCAGTCCAGGATGCCATACTGTCTGCCCTTATACCACCAGTGATTGAGGATTTCTGTGTCTCTGATTTTACTACCTTGACACTACCAAGCTCCCTTGTTTTCCTTATTACGACATATAAAGCACCATCTCACTAGTAAGTTTCTTAAGTTGATGATAAAACTGAGCCTACCTTTATATAACATTTTCTAACGTGTTGGTGATAAATTCTGTGCTTATATCCTTTGCCCATTTTTCTTTTGGAGCTTTTCTTTCTTGCGTGATTTCTTGTGTAGTCCAGATAGTAATCTCTTATAAGTTTTAGACATTGCAAATATCTTACCATTTTTTCACCTGTTTTTAAATGTTGTCGATGGTGTAATTTAGTATATAGAAGTTACTAACTTTGATATCAATAAGTCAATCATTTTTGCCTTACATTTTGTTTGTGTTTCTGACATTTTCTAAGAAAATTTTTCATATTTCTAGGTAACAGAACTATTTCCATATTTTCTTCTAGCAATGTTATAGGTTATCTTTTACATTTTGATGTTTCACCCAAAAAGATTCAAATTTTGTACTGTTAAAATGTTGGAATGTTGTTTGTGGTTAAAAACTAACAGGATGTTGTCGAAAGCCCAGGCACCAGCAGGACATTACTTGCAATTACTACCTGCATGAAGGAGGATGAGAGTGACAGATCCTAATGGACTACATACTTTGGAAATTTCCTAGCCCTCGAATTTCACTATATAAAACCCTCTGTTCAGAGGCTCGGGGTCCATCTCATCTGGGCGAGACTGCTGCGGTACACTCCAGGGATCGGACCCTAGCCCAGGCTAGCAATAAAGGCTTGTACTTGTCTTTTGCATCGTTTCTGGGTCTCACAATTTCTTGGACTCTAACAGTACATGATGTTAAATAAATATCCAGTTTCATTTATTTTCCTGTCGAGAGTGAGCTAGATTTCCCAACTTTCCCTCATCAATTTGTCCCCCTATATAATATATTTACTATCTAACTTTCTGTCTTTAGTAAGCTTTCTATTCTGTGCCAATGTTCTATTTGTCTATTCTTGCAACAGTATCACACTGTTTTATTACTATGACTTCTTAATATCCTGCTTGGCAAGTCTTTCTTTTTCTTATGAGATTGGTTTAGATATTTGTGATTTTTATTGCTTACTGAGTTTATCAAATAGTTCAACAGGGATCTTTATGGTGGAACATTAAATTTATAGATTAATTTGGGGGAATTGGCATCTTTAGAATATTCTGTCACCCAATCCAAGAACATAAAATGTTTCTCCATTACCAGATCATCTTACTTCTATTTCCTTTACTAGAGTTTTTAGTTTTATGAATCAAAGTCTTACTTAATTCCTAGATATTCATTTATGTTTCTTTCTCTATACTATTGAGAATACTTTTATGCTTTTTGTTACATTTACTGGTCTGTTACTTCAGTTACAGAGAAATTTTTATGAACGGGTTGATCTTACAATCTGTTAAACTCAAGGATTTGAATAGTTTCTCTGTCTGCCCCCTTGTTACTCTTGATATTTTTTTCTCACAGAGATAAGCACTATTGTTCTTATAATAATCTACCATATGCTTAGAAGCATAAACCAAAGTAAATTTATTATCTTACATTTCTACAGGTCAGAAGTCTGTTACAGGTCTCACTGGATTAAAACCAAGGGATCAGCTAGATTCCTTTCCAGGGAAAACTTGGGTTTCCTTACCCTTCCCACCTTCCAGAAGCCACCAGCATTCCTCAGCTCCTGATCTTTTTCCCCAGTCCTAAGAGCCAGTGATGGCAATTCCAGTCTTCCTCACACTCTATTATTTACACTTCTAATAACACCTACATGAGTCACATCCAGGACATTTTTTAGATAAAAATCAAGAGATCAGAACCTCCCCTCGAAAGGAACTCAGCTGATCTCTTGATTTCAATTCAGCAAGACCTATGATAAGCTTCTAACCCCTGGAACTATAACAAATTTCTATTGTTTTATGCTTCCAAGTTTGTAATAGATTATTATAGGAGCAATAGAAATCCACATAGTGCTTAACATTTCTGT